AGAACTGACACACGCACACGCATAATAATAATAATAATAATAATAATAATAATAATAATAATAATTGATTTATACTGTGCACATTGCCTACCTACCAATATGGAAGTGTCTAAACAACCGGATCCGGTTTCGGTATCCTGAAAACTAAACAACCGGCTCTCTTCTCTGATTGGCTAATTTTGTCACTATTTTATTTTTTATTATTTTTGGCTAATTTTATTTTATTTTAGAATTAGGGTTAGGGTTAGGGTTAGGGTTAGGGTTAGGGTTTGGGTTTGGGTTAGGGTTAGGGTCTATATGCCTCACTTTCAAGTTGGTTTCAGTTGCTCAACGTTAGAGCTTTTGCTTCGTGATAGTAAGGAACCGTGTTCGAACCCCATAAGATGTTTTTATTTTCCTCTGCTTTCTGTATTTCTTTGCATTTTATATGTTTCTGCATTTATTTGTTCCGTATTCATTTATTTGTTCTGTAACTTTTGTTTATGTTCGGAATTAAATATATTTCTTTATATAAAAATTGTCCTATTATATATATTATTATAAATTGTCCTATTATATATATTTGTCCTGTTATGTTCGAAAACTGACCAATCAGAGAAGAGAACCGGTTGTTTAGTTTTCAGGCCTCCGAAACCGGGTCCGGTCGTTTAGACACTACCTACAAATATGTTTACATAGCAGCACGCGCATTAGCTCTAGTCCATGCGCGTGTAGCTCTAGTACTATAGCCCGCGGATCGCTGCCGCAGGCGCACCTGCGCGCCTGCGGCAGCGATCCGCGGGCTATAGTTGTGTGTGCGTGTGTTGTTATTTGCGTTACTTGTCTATAGGCGCATATTCTATTCATGTACATAGATCGTTTGCAACGTAAGCGTTGATAATTTCATGAGTCAACTTATCAAATTCAAATCAAAGAGCAATGCAATGAATCACAACTAATTAAATACACACACGCACAAAAACCTACCTATTTTAATCGCGATTAAAAACCACGGCCCAAGGATAGAGAACATGGGTCCCAATAAAACCAATGTGCCTAACCCTAACCCTAACCCTAACCCTAACAATAACCCTAACCCCTATTATATTGATATAATATTATATTTATATTGATGTAAATGACATTGCATGGTTTTATTGGGACCCATTTTCTCTATCCTTGAACCAAAACCACTGTTCTGATTGGCTGGAATTTAATCGCGATTAAAAACCACTGTTCTGATTGGCTGGAATTTAATCGCGATTAAAAACCACTGTTCTGATTGGCTGGAATTTAATCGCGATTAAAAACCACTGTTCTGATTGGCTGGAATTCAATCGCGCTTAAAATACATTTTAAGCGCGATTAAAATAGGTAGGTTTTGGCGGTAATGGCCTTCCATAGGTACCTCGCATAGTTATGGGTTCATTGAGTTCAACTATCACTTGTCCAGAGAGCACCTGTCCTGCATAGTACACTGGTACTAGCTGCGAGTGCGTGTTGAAAAATGCTATTTGAAATGCCTCCAATTTCCCCATTGCCACAGTATAAGTATAGCCACTATATATTAGACCAGTAAAACCATAACACTAGCACTGCAGTCGACATCGAGCACATGTACAAAGTCCGCCATGCCGTAGGCCCGTATGGCGCTATCAAACTCTTTTCCCACACTCATATCAGGATAATACTGAATAATAGTAGAATTGAGCCAGAGCGAGAGCGCCATCAGAGCTGATCAGAGCCAGAGCGCCATCTGTCGTGGGGGAGCACCGAGCAAGGGTGCGCACCAAAAGGGTGCGCACCAAAGATGCGCACCCAGCGCATCGAAAATCGAGCGCGGTAAACACAGACGGACCCACTGAGCTGTATAATTTATAGCCCTAATAACTCTCACTCTCTCCCCTATCTCTATCTCTATCCTTTGCCCCTCTATTCCCGCATCTCTCCCCTTTCTGTCTTTTCCACAGGCACTCTCAAACGTCTCAATAACAAAAACCACCACCACCTACCATTGACGATAGCTTCCTGGAAATGCTCCTCTGCAACTTGTTTACACCTACGCACGCCGCTGTGCACAAACAACTATAGAACATAGATATACACACACATATAATTATATATATATCAGAAGTAGATAATCGAATGATTTTCTAGTATTATGGACTCTTGATATATTTTCTTTGTCGCGAATTCTTCCGAGTTAGGTCATTTGTGAGAAACATTTCGTATTTCGACCGCACAGCTAGTACACATATGCATCATGTGCGTGCGTGCGTGCGTGTGCATGTACACGTGCGTGCGTGCGTGTATGTTATGCAACTTTGCCCAGTCGATCCGTAGACTCCGTACTATACACACTTGAAACAGTGCACGCGCATGCGCAATATCTCCCGAGAAGAAGAATATTTTGCAAAAATTATGCATTTAAAATGGTAGAGATGGTATTCTAGCATAGATTTATCTAATAACATTCAATCATTAGACCTCACTTAAGAAATAGGACGAATACCTTGCATGTAAGGTCCCCGCTGCATATACCAGTCAGTACACAATCTAGCTACGTTATTGTGTTAGCGCATGCGCAATATCTCACCACAGGAGTTATATTTTGTAATTATTATGCATTTAATATGGTTATGGGGGAGCTCAGCATAGAATTCTGTAATTAATCGCAATGGGTA